TCCGTCCGTCCGTCCGTCTGTGCACACGATAACTCGAGTAAAAATTGAGATATCTTAACGAAACTTGGTACGTGAACTTCTTTTGGGCGTGGGACGGATGGTATTGAAAATGGGCGAAATCGGATAATAACCACGCCTACCTCCCATATAACGGTAATTTTAAGAAATACGAAAACTGCGATATTTTAGTAACTACTGAAGATAATTCACTCAAAATTGATACTTACAATGAGTTTCAGACGGAAAACATGAATATTATAAATTTTTGGAAAATGGGCGTAGCCACGCCCACTTATGGTTACATGTGTATATCTTGGTAACCGCTGCACCAATTTCTTCCAAACTTGGTACAGTTGTTGGCCTTAGTACAGCATACTAAATGGCTGAAAATTTTAAAAATCGGACAATAACCACGCCTACCTCCCATATAACGGTAATTTTCAGAAAAACGAAAACTGCGATATTTTAGTAACTACTGAAGATAATTCACTCAAAATTGATATTTGCAATGAGTTTTAGACGAAAAATAAGAATATTACAAAATTTTAGCAAATGGGCGTAGCCACGCCCACTTATGGTTACATGTGTATATCTTGGTAACCGCTACACCAATTTCTCCCAAACTTGGCACAGTTGTTGGTCCTGGTACAGCATACCAACTGGCCGAAAATTTCTAAAATCGGACAATAACCACGCCCACATCCCATATAACGGTAATTTCGAGAAATACAAAATCTTCGATAAATCAGTAAATATTGAAGCTAATTTATTCAAAATTGATGATTGCAACAATTCTTTACCAAGAAATACGTTTATGACAAAATTTTGGAAAATGGGCGTAGCACCGCCCACTTGTGATCACATATATGTATCTCGCTAACCGTTCTAGCAAGTTGTACCAAGCTCGGTATGGTTATTGTGCTTGCCACATAAAAGCAAACCGTTGAAGATGGTTGAAATCGGACTAAAATTGAGGCCGCTTTTCATATAACGGTAAATTTCAGATATGCTTGAAATTTCAATATTTCGAAATTTAAGGACGCTAATTTACTTAAAATGTATACACCCCGGCTTATCATGTAGCGGTAGCTTTCGGAAAGGTGGAAAACATATATTTAATACTTGCGCCGGGTATTTAATGTTCGGCTCCGCCCGAACTTAGACTTTCTTACTTGTTTGTCATATTTTTGTATGTACTGACCGCATTTTCTTTGGTACATACATACAAATATGCATTAATCAAACATTGTAGTGGTTTTTATTGCTGTAACAATTTTGCGCATATTTCACTTCACTCAAAATCTTTCCTTATTTAATTAATATTCATTTTTTAGTTTTTCTATTTGCAATAATCGTTATATATATATATATATATCAACTTACTTTTAAATTTACTCAAATTTTACGCTGTAACAAACTCAATAATCTCAATTTTATGCACATAATTTTATGATTTGCAAATTTTTACAAGTGTCTAGTAATTAATACAAATACGCTTCTTCCAATAAATAATTTATCTTTGCAAATATATATTTCAGTGTAATTTTTGTGAATGAATTCATATATATGCATTTTATTTGCGAAAAGTAAACAACACACACTTAAATTTTCAATTACATTGACTTGCTTTTTAGTTTTTGTTTTTTTTTTTTGGTTTTTGCTGTTTTGCTTCATTTGACTTAGATAATCTCTTCAAATACATTAATTTAACTTAATTGCACACATTTACTAAACATTGCAGCCTTTGCTCTAACTTTATATACTTACCAGCTAATTTCTATATAGTACTTACGGTTACGTACGTACATACTCGCATGCACATACATACGTACGTATGTTCTCTGGCCCAGCTAATACTGGCCTGCTTTAGCCAACTTGATTAATGTCTACAGATTAGTGACTATTGAAAGCAGCATTGTTCTCTCAAGCACTTGACTGTTTGCATTTTTGCATTTTTTAATTTACACTATTTTTGAGTTATACTTATATGCATTTATTTAAAAACAAAGGCTTGCAAAAACGTCTAAAAACTAAAAATAAATACATGAAAGTTAAAAAAGGGTTAAAAAAAATTTTGTATTTAGTAGTTTTGCCAAGATACAAGCAAAAAAAAAATCAAATGGAAAATATTTCAAAAATCTTACCAAATAATCGGTACAGAATTGAAAATTATTTGATGCATGATAATTTAATACTTGTGTATTACAGTAAAAATTTGTTAAGTGGGCCGGCCACCAATTTTTCGGAGGTCGAGTGGTTTTTTGTGGTTCACAATGATGAAAAAATATAAAATTTTTACAATTTTTCGGAATTTGAATTATTTTTAAATAGTTAAGAATTATGATGTTTGCTTCCTATTTTTATTTTTGCCATAATTTTTTTTTTGTTAAAGTTATTAAAAATTTTTAAAATTTGAGTCACTACTCAATCGCTTTTAGATAACATTTTGGGCTAGAATTTTTGTACATTCCATTAAAAATTATTTTTGGAAAATAAAAAATTGCCGGAATGCAGTGAGACGAAAGTTAAGGCCAACCTCAATAAATTTTTACTCATTATCTTTTATGTTTTAACGAATCCATGTAAAATGAAAACCGTTCGAGCCCCTAGTTAGTCGGGTGTCCTTAGTTAGTCGGGTGTCCAGAAACCTGGCCATAACGTCAAGGCGTTTGCATGCCTCTGTCATCCGAAAAATCCTCCAGTTTCTCTAGCAGGTTATTTACGACCACAAGCCTTGCGGGATTCCTATATTCTTCCATACTGCAAGCAGGCTCCGCCTCAATATGTAGCTGCAGTTCTGTCACAGAGTAGGTTTGTAATGAACGGCGGAAATTCTAAGAACATACTTAATCCACACGTCATCATCGTCGTCGTCATTATTGTACAGTCTCTATAGGCAGGACAACCTCTACTCCTTGGGATCGATTATAAGGAGGAAGATTTAGAGACTCGTCATTTTTCTGTGTACCCAGCCAGAGCAAATGTGACTTTTCAGAGTCTATGAAATAGTCATCTTCTTGACGCACTCAGATCAGAAACCTCTGCCGTCTGAGTTGTTAAAAGCGTGTTGATAGATCTTTAAATCTCTACTTATGAACTGGTGCGCTTCTAGTACATTTAGGCCCAGTACTGGTTTGCGATAAATCTCTTTTGCATGGCGATGCCCTAAGAAGTGTCGATTGCCCCTCGCTGCACCCCATTTTCGATAGTTCCGAACTAGTCCTAAATTCTATAGTTTGGAACCAGTTCTAAAATCAACAGATGAAAAAAAGTATCATGATTTTGCAATCTTTTTGGTTCTTACGTGTGTGCGATTTTAAAATATGTTCAAAGAAATGTGTTTTCAATTTGAAGTTAAGTTTGTTTAAATGATTGTAAGAAATGTATGTTTACATACCTTTGGCTGTAGCTTAGTTTGCAGAGGTGCTTGCTGTTATTGATTAGATGCCAGACGGTGTCAAGATGTTAAAATGTTAACATAAATTTTTGTTTTGTAATACCAAACTATGAAGAAGCATCTGCGAAGTGCAGAATGGAAGCATATTTGAACGAAAAAGCCGCAAACACATATCTACGCAAAGTAAATCAGCCCCCGCTGCGTCCCTTTTTCGACAGTTGGGAACCAGTTCTAAATTCGTCACCTTAGATATAGATTTCCAACGAAAAGAAGTGAACTTAAATTGATTTTTTAAAAGTACCACATTTCGCTGATTTTGAACTGGTGGAGATCTAGTTACAATTATTTAGACTGGTTCGTTTTTGGCAATGAAACTCCAGTACCGAACTAGAAATTTGATTCACTAGACCGCGGTACAAAAATTCTTTTAAATTGTGTTTTCTAAATTTCGATTACGAATATAAATAATTACCATAAATAAGTACTAATTGAATCAAATTATTTACTACCAGTTGATCTAAAATACATACATATTTATAGTATATGCAACTACATACATTCATTTCCAAGCATTGTATTTTTGTTTTGTATTAAATGAGCTTTAATTATACCGTTATGCAGATAGTATTTAGTAAGTTGAGGTTTAATTAGTGAATACAGTTATCGAATATAAGTTTAGCAAGTACATAACTTTTGCTTAGTGGATGATTTTAGTAGTTAGTTAGTTGGTTCTTCACTTATTACTTAATCTTGGCATTTAACTATGTTTGTTGTTGTATGTATGAAAGTATTTAAGTTGTCCATTATTATTCTTTATGTACTTTTGCTAGTTAATTTGTAGTTATTGTCCGCCCATACAGTATGCATATGAATATTTGTTTTTTTTGTTTGTTTTTTTTTGTTTTTTTTTGTGAGTTCTCTTCTGCTTTACGAAGTTTTACATTAAACGGTTTGACTGTATAAATACACAAGTAGCATAAGTAACTTAAAGACATACATACTCATTGTTTATTGGTAGTTGTTAATGGTAGTTATTGCAGGCATGCACGCACATACAAACGAACATATACATATGTACATATATGAATGTGTTTCGTTAGCGCTCATTTATGCCTTCTCATTACCATATTCATATACATATATGTACCTATGCATGTATACTTATGTTTTTATGCATGAAGCTTATTGCGGGATATTTACCTGCTTCTGCAATATTTATGATTTTTATATTTCTGTGTGTGTGTGTGTGTTGCATTAATTATTGTTTTCGGTTGTACCGTATTACCAAACTGAATTGAATTGCATTTTAATTTAATAACAAAAAACAGAGGCCCATATATATGCACGTATGTACATTAGGGTGCATCGCTATTCATAGAAAAAAAATAAAAATAAAATTAGTCGGTACTGTTTGCCCAGTGGAATTATAGAATTTATTATACTCGACTTTTGAGACTTCTGCCAAAATATTTCGGAAAAATTTTGAGATTTACGTAGCTGCAGCGATTTAAAAATACCTCCAAAAATCGAGTTTTTTTTTTATAAATAAAATTAGTTTTTAAAAATATTTTCTACCAAAAAATCACCAGGTCTGCTTAAAAAAAATATTTTTAAAAAGTAATTTTATTTATAAAAAACTCGATTTAGGCAGAACTCTTTAAATATAACACATTTTATAATTCAGGTGGACAAAAGCAACGCTTTTTTGGTGAGGCACCCTAAAGTACTCACTTTTATACATACATATGAATGCACGTTAATCTGCCGCACAGTGCACTCGTACACATACATTCACACCTCTGTATGCACAACGAAAATTATAATGACAAATGTGTGAAATTAAGTATTGAAATGAGGAAAATTGGTAGCAGTGACGCACCAGAGCTCTTTCCGCCTATGTACATACATACATGGGTAAGTGTGTGAGTTTACTGCTTATTGCCGCCATTCGTGTGAAATCGACAGCAACAGTTGCAACAAACTCAGTGGCGGTTGCATCAAATTGCCTACGTTGCTGTCGTGGCGCTTCGTCTGATTTTCGTAGTAATGAATTCGATTATTATGGTGCACATTTATTACCGTACGAAAATTACAGACACTCGATGCAGCTCCTCCGTCAGTGCATATTGTTGCTTGTGTTTGTGTGGGTTTGTTGCTACAATTAAATTTGTCACTTGTTTTGATGCACTCGCTCCTGCCGCTATTGTTGTTATTTTTGCAGCAACTGTGGTTACGCCTGCTGCGCTCATAATTATTTTGCACACAGCTGTTCGCGGCAGCGCAGTTGCTTGTGTTGTTAACTCCACCACTCCTGCTGCACTCGCAGTTGTACAAATTGTAATTACCATTGTTGCTATTACAGTTATGGAAAATGTAGTTATCTCTTTCACTATAACTATAACTATAACTATTAGTGCCACTGTCACTATCGCTATGATTATTGTTATTATTATTATTGTTATTCTCATTTATTTGCATATGTCCTCTGTTGGGTCAACGAATCAATAAGCCAGTATCCGGTGACCAACGATTCGCTCGGTAGTACATATCCTTGTACATGGTCGGACATGAATTTTGGTTCTGCAAAAAATGTGGCGCCGCAAAGGCAAAAGGAGGAGGAGAAATGTTTCAATATTTCATATTAAATATTTTATGCGAATTTCCACATTCATATGCATGTACACTTTATTTTTTGCCTACTCACCCTATTACGCTTAAAGTCTATATTTGTCCTTACAGTTCTATGGTGTAGTCCTTGTACGGGACGCGCATTATTACCTAATGGAGCTTTTGGTGTACTCTCGGAGCCTTGCATCAGTCGTCGGAGTTGATATAACTGTGAAATGATAAGAAAATATAATAAATTGTTAATGATAATGCTAGACATTTAAAAGTGTTAAAATAAGACCGTAATTGACTTCACTAACATTCGGGGTATCCGACAGTCGTTTTGCCCACACAAAATATTTCTAACCGGCCCCTGCACAGTGCAGTGCAGACCCCATATAAACTGAGACCGAAAATAGTTAACAAACACCGAATTAGTTCAAATTTGCTGTATGCTTTTCTTACACTTGGAAAAAAAGTGAATATGAAAGTTTGATATATTGCCACGCCCACCATACTTATGGGCGAAAATGCTTAATATTAGGGTTTAAATGAAACTCCTTCCTTTGTTTTTCACTTATAAATAAAACACTTAAAACAGGCGACATATTTTGACAAAACTTTATCTCCTTTATTCATACCTTTACCGATGATATTATGGGCCAAAAACTGACAGATAGACCTGATCCTGATCCAAATCAATCGATAAACTGCTTTTTGATCCCATTTGACAATGTGTTTTCACGGAACCAGCGTTTAGGTTCTTTCAGAATCACAACGGTCTCTTTCAGCCCGCGTATGCCACTCTAAAATATATCAAGTTCTTTCTACATGCATTTATGATACTTCCTAGAGAAAAAAAAGAAAATTTGTAAACTAGGGATGCCAGTGACAAAAATACCATCGACGTATTTCTTTGATTCGTTGTAGAGATGGGCGCGGCACTAAATATTTAATCCCAATTCCGTTCATCCCGACATTAAATTTCTGATCCCGAACCCGGCCATCCCAACGGTTTTCAGATTTGTCCCGCGGGTCCCGATATCTATCACTTAATAAAATTCACTTGGTTTTCAAATTAATTTTAATTACTTGATATACTTGAACATCTTTTCCTGGAATATTCTCTTTTCGTCATACTGAACTATCTGGCGTCTTCTAGTTATTCTGTTTTGCCTTGCCATTGGTTTTTGTATCAATATAAAATTAAGAAGCGCTAGTTTCTAATAACGTTTTTGTAGGCTGTGGGTTTTATTAGAAATGTCGCGAAAGGATTTTCCCAATCTCAATGAAAATGGAGAGGTCAAATTCTGTGCTTTAGGCTTAGGAGCTAGTAATCTCAACAAGCTAGCAGAAGTCTTGATAACGGATTGCAAATTATTTTTTTTACAAGTTTTTTTTTAACTTGCGCTGTATGTATGTATGTATGTTTGTTAGGGGTAAATCTTGCAATTAAATTTTGACCAACTTCCCGATGACCTAGAGACTTGAGACTTCTCATTTGGCTCAGAACCCAATGACAATGCAATAATCCAATAGGTGGCGCATGAGTCGAGATAATTGAAAAACCCGTATATGTAGTTCGATTTCGTTCATATTTAGAAATCTTGCTTTAAAAATATTTGTTCTTACTATTAACTTTGGTTTTAACCAAGAAAGTTATATTAAATAATGTCTGGATAAAATTTTGCTTTTGGTATAACTTCCGAAACTGATGGGCAACTTCGGGCTTGGAGGCAATAAAGTCATAGATGAACTGGCAAGATGTCGACCATCAATCGCTCTCAAACAACTGCAAATATTTTATGGTCTTAGTTGGTCCGTCAAAAAATTCGATGCTATTCAGTGCTCAATGGTTACCAAAGTGGATTCGACCGGGTATTTTCTCCAAAACTACGTAAATTATACATTTAAAACATCTACACAATCGAACCTATTTAAATAGTAAATGTATCTGCTCAGATCCTTTTAAAAATTTTGTAAAGAAGAAGAAGCTATCTAGAGCATTGAGGGCTAAGGTAACTTCTTTGCAATACAAAAGCTCTATAGGGGCTGTTCTAATAGGTCCAGTTTTGAACTAATTAGCTTACCCACTACTTTGCTATCAAAAAACTCGCAGCCTGTGATTTTCTTAACGAAATCTATTATAAGTGGCTCCACTTATGTTACACAATTTTTTTCTTCAAGAAATGGTATGCAGATATTTCCAATAAGCGTTGAAGATGCTCCAACTACCTTTTTCTAGATGGGTCTGGCTCGCAGATTTTGAGGTTGATAATGCAATAATTGAACATACTTGTTTTAAAGTGTCAAGTGTGATATTGCTTGTTATGTAACCCTACCTTAATCATAAGAGCCTACAATGTTATCATATTTTGTTGTTCATCTCTATATGAAAACTTAGGTGTATTGCCAAAAGCACATTTTTTAAACTGGATACATTTATTTAACGCCCGTTTTGTCTAAGTGAATAGACTACAAATAGAGATAACACTAAACGTAAAACAGATAACTTATTGAATTTAAAAGATAAAAGACATATTTGTATTTAACTGCTTTTAATATGCAGAGCTTTTGAATAATTTAAGTCAACTGAAAAGTTTCTTTTCGAAATACTCACAACACCTTTGCCACAAATGAGCATGCTGCTGTTATTACATATTATTTAAGATTCTTTCTGCATGCTTTGCGGCATAATTTATTCATTACCGTTTTTTGTTTTTTGTTTTTTTGCTTTTGAGCAACCGAATCACTTCCGAGTGTAAATATTTAATATTGAGCTTTTATCGATTATGCCCTACTTTTCTGCAATAAACTTAATTTGCATTTAAATGCATAAACCAAAATGTATGCGCAAAGTTGGCATGTACATACATACATACATACATACATACTTATGTGGTGGCGCTAGTGCGTTAATATGTATGCACATGCATATGCCTTTTTGTTCTTGCTTAATGTAAACATTAATAAAACTGCAATTGTTGTGAATGTGCATGCAAAAAAAAAAAAACGTCCATAAAATGCTTTAAACAAATTACAACCACTTAACACGTAATTACGTTTAAATTAAGCTCCAGTTCGGGCAAGGCAAGGAAAAAATGCCACTACACATATGTAGACACTTACATTTATCACTTTGCCACTTATGTATGTATGTATCTACGTTAGTCGCCAATAATGATTACTGTTCGATTTGTTGTGTTCACATTTACATATATTTTATTCGTGGCAAATTGCTTCAATACAGTTGGTTAAATTTTGTTAAAAAAGCCAGGTGGGCAAAATGTTTAATTACATAAGTGTTATTTTATTTATTTCAACAATTCTTTTTAAATACATAATAAATACTTCGATGTGCTTAAAAATTTCTTTTCATGCAGCAAATTAACACAAGCAAATTAAGTGAGCGTAGAGTAAATAAGTCACTAAGTAAGTGGCGAACTCAATTTTCAGGCTGCCTTTATTGGGGAATATTTATTTAGAACGGAATAGGATAAAATTATAATTGTACTTAAAGCCTAAAGCCGTCTGAGCCCTCGACGAGGGTGCTGACTGGTAATGGTGGGCACTACAGAGGATGCTTTGCCATGTCAGAATGGTGCGCAGCTAAGATTAGAAATCAGCGCCATGTACCAAATCTCCTTAATAGCTTAGTCATACGGAAATGGTTTAGGATCGTGGCTTGAAGGTCAGAAGCGGCTAGATCAAGGCGTCACGCAGACCGTACCGAGCACCGACAGGGGGGGGTTCCAAAATAGCCCAGCCACGAACGGAGCCCTCTGGGAGGCGGCCACACACAGGATGTATTAAGACCCCGCCTGGGCATCATGGATCTCTGCCCCAGTGGACGAACTCCAATCTGCGCAGCTCGCGAGAGCACGAGGAATCAATAAGCAAAAAATAAAAAGGGATGGAAAGGGCTTTAAGGCCCCCTCAAGAAAGGGATCAGAGTACCTCCACCAAGGTGAAACCGGACCAAGTTTAGTCCGAAACAGCAGTTTGACTACTCAAAGGGGTCTGTCCCGGGACCCCTGTGGCACTATTTTATGCCAACCTGGTTTGCAGACTGAAGCCGGGCATGACCCTCAATATGCAGCGCAGACCCCGGGCGGTTTTCTCGCGACATCCACTACATTCACGAGGCCAGCACCAGCTGCAGCAATAATCTTGGTCAGATTCACAGCAACGCATGACCTGTCCAGCAAGGCAAAGGAGGAGCGTGTAACTAATAAGTGGGTTAGAACGCAGAGGCCATTTTTTTCTGAAGTCGCCAAGAAGCATATTCTGATTGGGGTGAGAGACGAAAGCATGAGGGTCCTAAGCCAACAATGGAAGTGGGTCAAGGCTGCGGTGGCCAGCATTGCAGTAATGATCCTATGAGAAAATCTTGGGCGTCCCCCAACCTATAAGGCAGCGGGTTAGTTCCACAACATCCGTGTTATAGCATGCGATAGTACACAGCTATTTGGCACCCTGTCTTACACATACTTGGCATCATTTAGTTTAACATTAAATTGACCAGCAACAAATTCATATATAAAATTTAAATTGTAATACATAATTGCATTTATTTGATTAACACCACCGCTAGCTGATCTGCATTTGTATTTGCGTTTGCGCTTACATTTAATTTTATTTGCCAATTGAAAATTACACACGAAATTTAATTTGTATTTTTTTTCCACAGAATAAACAAATTTGCTGGTGCGCTTAATTGAGTTCAATTAG